AATTAAACAGACACTTCCCTAAAAAAATAATTGTATGCCGCCAGGAGGCCACTAAAGTTGACAAATTGTATACTAAGAATTTTATTAAAAGCATAGCCAGGCGTAAGCACTTCACAGAAAAAAATGTCAAAAATATATTCTTTAAAATAAAGTGTTGGTTCGACCTTTCTTGTTTCCATATAGATAGTAGAGAATTACAGGAATTAAAATTGTGTGATAAAATTAAACACAGGGTGTCCCTGCGGTGTTCCAAAAAAAAAATCAACAAAATTTCAAAAAATGCTAAATTTTAATGGAATGAATAAAAAATATATGTAAAAATAGGTTATTTTTTATTATTTTATAAAATAGTACAGGCTTTTAGCTTTCAAAAGAAGAAATAAAAATCTGCTCATTTTTTGCACTTTCTGATGTAATACGTTTTTCGCTAATGCATAAAATAATTTTTTCATTTTTTGTCAGTGCCTTGAGATCTGCACGATTCGTTCCATTTTCAAAAATGAAGTGTCAGACTAAAAACCTTAACCTGCGGACAATAGAAGGTTTATTTTTTTTAAAGAGTTGCCACCTGTTAAAAAATTAGATTGTTTAAAAATTAGATTAAAATTTTTTTATAAGTTAAATGAATTATTAAGAGATGGGTATCAATCGAAATATGTATTAACTACATGTAGAGAGTTGCCACCTGTTTAAAAAATCAAATTCCATTTGAATTAAAGGAATTAGGTAATTGAAATAGATAGGTATCACCATAAGGGAGTCAGACGAAAGAGGTTTAAGAAGCTTAAAAATATTACTAATAGGGTTGCCACCTGTTTGTAAAGTCGAATTTAGTTAAAATAAAATAATAATTACGTCAAACCATAGGATTACGCCATCGTATTTGTTGTTTTAGTACAAATACATACATTGTCAATCAGTGATTTGTTATGATTACATTCCTTTTAAATTACTGGACTCTTAAATTAACTCAATAATGTTTTTACTCTCCACTTATTTCTTGCTAAATATGTCAAATTTTTTCATTTGTCTTATACTCATATTGATATACATATTTCAGTTACCTTATTCCCTTAACTAAAGTGAATTTGATTTTTTAAACATGTGGCAACCCTTCTACGTGTCATTTAGAGGTAAAGTATTTACAAAACTAGTTCAATTGATACCCATATTATAATATCTAATTCATTTAACTTATTAAATAATTTTAATAAAATTTGTAACAGGTGGCAACCCTCTTCAAAAATAAAAAACTTTATTGCACATCTACAGGCCAAGCCCTGTCATTTGACACCTCACTTTTGAAAATAGATCGAACTATATGTACATACCTATGTAAAAGCCACAAGAACCCAAATTTTCAACTTCAAACTGCATTTACAGTGAAAGTATGAAAGTTATCCAAAAACCAATTGCATTTTTTAATTAAACGTCCTATTTTTGCCCACATTTCATATAGAAGGGAAGCACTGTGTGACTTCAGGATTTTTTTCAAAAGGAATTTGAAATTTCTAGAATATGATTGAATAAACTAATTATTCAAAAGATTCGGTGCATTGTAGAATAACAGTATGGGTATCAATTAAAAGGAAAAATTCTGTAGAATAGATAAATAATTAATTTTTGAGTGCACCAGGACGAATAAGTATTGAAAATGTCCACTATTTATTTTTGAAACAAATATATGTCAAGGACTAATATGTTAACTACCACATCCTTGAATTTCGTCCTAAGATCATTTATCATTTATGTATATTGTAACTATCAATATTTTATAAAAGAAGTTAATTTTTTTTTTATCTAAAACTAATAAAGGTAGAAGGACGAAATTCGAGGATGTGATAGTTTACATATTAGTCCTTGATATATAGTTTTTTCTAAAATAAATATTGGAAATTTCCAAGGATATTCAAGGATAAAGTTTTAAAAGGACATTTTCAACACTTATTCGTCCTGGTACAACAAAAAAATTAATTTTTTTTTTAATTGTACAAAATTTTTCTTTTTAATTGAAACCCATATTGTTACTCTTCAATGCACCAAATCTTTTAAATAATTTTTTATTCAATCGTATTACAGAAATTTCAAAGTCCTCAAAAAAAATCCTGACGTCAGAGAGAAAAATTAAAAACGCAGTTATACTATATTTGGCTCCTTGTTTTGTGAATATATTGTTTTTTTCGTGTGTTTTAAAATTTGTTGGTTTTTGTCGCACGGTGTAATAAGGCCTCTTAAACACTAGTCGCTACAGGAGGGAAAGGGTTGCAAATCGGAAATGCAGTTAAAAGATATAATTGCGTACATAATCCATTTCATGAAGAAGTATTTACCCCAATTTTGCCCATGAAATGTTAAATACACTGGATCACAAATTTTAGTCACTATCCAATTTCTATGTAGAATTGCTCGGTGATTCCGAAAATCGAGTTAATTTTCTTTTCTATGGATACGTTTTCGAGATATTTGCAATTTACCGTTATTCAGCTTAAAACAAAAAGTGGTTCCACTTAATCACGTATATCTTACGAACCAATTTAACAATCGTAAAATGAGATACGTCAAATCAAAGCTAATAAAATTTTCCATATATACACCACTTTCCGATAGGACTTATAGTTTCTGACAAATTAAGTAATTATTCCATTATCCAACTTTAACAGAAGAAAAATTAAAAAATAACAGGTTCTGTGCCAAATTTTTGCTCTTGTGCTAAAGCCTGTTCTGTTACAAAAAAAAATCAAGTTACTAATGAAGGAAAGCGAGCGATAAATAGAGAAGTAATGAGTGGTCAAATGAAAATACGTAAAGATTTTTTGAAACAAAATTACCTTTCATCTGATGGTAAATTTATAGCTTAGATAGAATGAGTCGTAAGCTAAAGCAGAAAAATATCGTATTTTCTAGAAACATTTTAATTTTTTCATATTACAGGACAGGTTCCGATTGGACTCAAAATTTCACAATTGTAGTTGTACACTAATTGGTACATTTCTACATGTGAGCACTTACAAATTTCAGAAAAAAAATCCGCCCATATAAACTAAAACCACCCTAATGTAAATACATATGTACATACATACTAGGGATGATCATTTTTTCGCTTTTTACGATCCCGGGATTTTCGGGGGGTCGTTAAAAATATTGCTTCTATCTCTCCTACCATAAAATAAATAATAAATAAAAGGGTTTGAAACCTACTTTTTTACTTAAAGTGGCGTTTTTATTTTTTCTCTCTGACGTCAGGAATTTTTTTAATGGACTTTGAAATTTCAAAGATATGATTAATTCCAAAAATTATTTAAAAAAATCAATGTAATGTAGAATAAAAATATGGGTACCAAATGCAAGAGGGAAATTTCTTTAGAATATAAAAAAATCAAAATTTTTTGGATTCACAAGGACGAATAGGTTAGGTATTTGTTTAAGCTGATAAAGTTAGAAGGATGAATTCGAGGATGTTATCGAGTTTATATGTATAAGTCCTTAACATATAATTTTTTCAAAAACAAATATTGCAAAATTTCAAGGATAAATTTTAAAAGGACATTTTCAATACTTACCAGTCCTTATGCACCAAAAATTCAACGGAATTTCCTCTTTAATTTGATACCCATACTTCTTCTCTAAGCACGTTTCACTGAATTTTTTGAATTATTTTTAATTACTGACGTCAGAGTGAAAAGCTAAAAACGTAATTTTACTATATTTGACCCATGGTTTCGCGAATATATTGATTTTTGTGTGTAAAATTTACTATCGCACGGCGTTGTATGTAATATGAGCTAGTCATTTATAAAAAAGTATTAATTATTAAATAAATAATAAAAATAAATATAGCCAATACTGGTCAAGAGAAGGAGTTTCTATTATTGCCATCGGTGCAAATTACAAATCCCGGCATTTTTTGCCAAGAATCCCGGGATGTTCGGGACCTAAAAAAGGCCGGGATCCCGGGATTAACATTCCTAATACCTACATATATGGTCAAATAAAAAGTCTCCCCGGATTTTTTTCACTTTGTGGTGTTGATGCCCATGCATCCAATAAACACTAATCCAATAGCGTCAAACTGAGGTGCGTTTGAAAGGTGACATTAAATGCTACATTTTATGTGAAGACAGTTCTGTAATTTTTCGTCAAACTGAGGCTGAGGTGCGTTTGAAAGGTGACATTAAATGCTACATTTTATGTGAAGACAGTTCTGTAATTTTATTGATTTGGAAGTGAGGAAAACATCTGATGAAATAAGCTACATATGTGATGATTTTTTACTTTAAAACAAGTGAAAACGCTGCACGAACATGCCGAGAAATTTGTGAAGAGTGGTTTGCTCGATTCCGTTGCGGAAATTTTGTTGTCAAAGATGCACCTCGCTCTGGTCGCCCAGTCACTGGAAAAGTCGATGAAATAATGCAAATGATTCCGGCTTGCAAACTGTCAGGAGATATCGGAGGCACAATACATCAACCACAGCACAATTTTGAATCATATAAAAAGAGCAGGCTTTTCAAAAACGCTCGAATTAAGGCAAAGAAATTTTATTGAACGAATTACCACGAGTGACCCGCAACGTAATCGAACCATTTTTGAAGCGAAGAGTCGCTTAAAATCGTTTGGCCAAGTTCTACACCGATGGAATTATGAAGCTACCCGAGAAATGACATAAGGTCATAGATAATAATGTCCAATATGTCCTCGAAAATAATTGATATAGATAGATATAGAAATCTTTTTCGAAAATGTACCATAAAATCCGCGGAGACATTTTTTATGTATGGATTTGACCAGTACATATACATATTTATGAACATAGATGTGCACTCTACAACAGCAACTCTCAAAATGCGTCCCGTTTCTTTAAGTTTGCTTTAAGTTGAGAATATTTGTTTTGCCTAAATTGCATTTTCCCAAGTTACACCCTGACTAACCAAAAATTGTTGCATTCTTAATTAACTCATACTTGTATTTAATGGCAAAAACTAAATTATTGTTTCCCATAGAATCGTGAGGCCATGGAACGTCTGGAGGAGCTGGAAACTTCAAATAATCACCTGCTGAAGCGGCTAGATAAACTAAAGAATGCTAAAAGCGCTTTACTCAAAGACCTTTGACCAAAGTCTATACATGCAACCGCGATCAGAAACAATTATAGCAGAGATAAATGCAAGCATAATGGCGAAACCCCAATTGGATGCGAAAATTGTGAACAATGAAAAAGCATAAATAGGCTCACATAGTGGCATCAAAGCATTGACAACAACACGTTGAACCTTCTTCAGGAAAAACAAAATCTGAGTAATGAAGTGAGAGTGCTAATGGCACATTACTAGCTTAATTGTTGCCATTTGACATTCCAGCATGAATAGTCAGAAATTTCGTGTCGCCTAAAATTACCAGCATAATCAGTTTAATATTTATTAACATACATACATATATAAATAATAAATACATATATAAGGGCAGAAAGCATAAAAAAACATATTCACAATATGTACACACATACGTATGTACATATATGTAAATACAGTGCATATATTAAGAGCATACTGTCAGTAGTTAATAGATAATAACCCAACTAAAATATCAAAAATGTTTAAGTTTGCAAAAATTTAATACTAACTAATATTGAAAATGATAATTTAAAAGAAAACTATTTACGAGTAAGTACGGAAAAAATCATTGTATTCCATTATGACAACAGAAACATGACAATTGAAATTGTTCATTTTAAATGCCTGTCTATAGATATTCGAAATGGATGAACTTACCCAACAGTGCACGTAAATACATAGGCAAACAAACGACACGCAGCTATAAACCTTTAAACATACATTCATACATACTTATGCCGGAAATTTTAGATCATACACACACATGTATTCATACATATGTAGGTGGAAAATCGTCGTTTAAATGGCCACATTTATGGTAATTTAAACTTCATAAGGACCAAAAAATATAAAAAAATTATGCTAAACATCAAAAGCGCGAATTGGGTATAACCAAGCTTGTAAGTAAGAGACATATCGCTAGCTTAGAGTGAAAAGTTGCTAAATCTACTTTTTATGGAAACTCATATTTTGAAACAGGAGGCTAGATAAATTAAAAATACGTCGTTTCGAAAAGGATAAAGGTACTTGTTTTGTGTTTTCTCGTTACATTCAATTAAAGGAAGGCCAAAATAGTACGAAATCTTTTAATAAAGATCGAATCCCTCTGATTCGTATGGAGTTTTACTTTGCTTCAAACAGGCGAAATGTTGTATTCATAGTTTTGCGAAATACTTGAAGAAACTAGCTATAAGAAGTTTTTTCCTCTCCTGTAAAATTTTTAAATTGGGACTTATCAGGTTTTCACTTTAAGCTAGCGATATTTATGTATTTATAGTACATAGATATGCACGTAGTATGTTTATATGGTTAAACCATTTCACAATTTTTCGGTTCGTTGTTAATCACATAATATTTTAATGATGACTGCACAACCTTTTTGAATGTGGCAAAATGTTTTTAAATTTGGAATTTCAAAAGCTTGTTTGGAGAATTTTCTAGTTATGAATCCATATGTTACATATAATCGGTGATACTGCTTGTGCTTAAATGATTATGTAACTAGATGAACGCGTCTGCTAACAGATAATTCATTTTTATCACTCAAAGGTAGACATTTTTTTATAACATAAAGCGATTTTAAAGAGAAAAAGTATTAATTATCATAACACTTTTCGCAGTTTCACCGACGATATGGTCATACATACATACATATGCATATACATAGTACATATATGTATGTATGTAAAAAAGCAATTGTTAAATAGCTTAACTTTCTGTTAGAAATTGAATGGCACACATAAGTTACAATTTTCTGAAGAACATAGCTGCTAATATGTAGTTTCAATTAGTAATTGCTAGCAGTGGAACCGAACACAATATTTTTAAATTGCGTGAGTAATTTACGCTTTGTTTCAGATAATTACATAAGTCAGGGCAAAAAGTATTTTGATAAAGAGAATTTTTCACATTATATGCAACAATTTTTATTTTAGTTTTTTTCCGCTAATTTTTATAAAAACATGATTTATACTACAACAAAAATGGTATTTTTATGTTTTTTGTTGTAGTATGAATCAAATTTGTCTGTGCCAATACTTTTTGCCGTGAATGTATGTATATACATATTTATTTGCAACATTAAAAGTTGTGCTGACAAAAAAAAAAACCAATGTTAACATACGAAGACTAAAATTTAATTAACATTTTTAGAGTACTTAAAGTTCATTGCAATCGGGCACACATACATACATATGTATGTACATACCCAGTACGGAAGGAAACTAGTTTAAATATCGATGTACAACCAGTTTTTTGACCACCACAAGTAGTTGAAGATCTGACTTCTCTTTAGGCATCAGTCAATTATCTGACTTCTGGCATCAGTCAATTATCCGGCTCTGCATTTGATTTCAACTACTTTAAAACGCATTTGGCACTTGAAAGTCAGTCATTTGATTACGCTTTCGTTCTGCACTTCACAGATGCTTTTTCATAATAAAAAAAAAAAACCGAAAATAAAAATTTAGAGCTAAATGTTCCGCCTAATGAGATTTGAATATGGACATTCTTGGCCGCGACCAGTTGTAGCAAACAGCTTTGCACGCTCAACTACACTCACACATGTAAATGTGCTTTCAAATGTTCAGTTTGAATTGTGTAGACGATTGCGCTTAGATAAGCACCAAAACATTGGTAAATATGCTAGCAAAACAACAAAATTTAGTGTACTGGTTAATGTTTTTTTTTTATTCAGTTTATTACAATGAACAGTCAAGTGTTGCTTGATAATCTTTAATAATAGAGATCTGCGCTGGTTGTTTTTAATCTCTTCAGTTACACGAATGCCTTTCTGTAGAGTAAGACCATTGGTTTACAATTTTTGTCCCCAGGCAGAAATGAAATTTAAGTTACGGGTTAATAAAAATGGGTTAAAGAAATGGTAAAGAAAAATTTATTGGGCCATATTTTCGTAAGCAGTACGAGGTTCTTAAGAAAGTTGCTACGCTTTCTGCTATGGTTTTCTAAAATCTGTTTGTGAAGAGTACAACGTACCCTTGTTTTCAACAAAAATATATGCGAAAGGAAAAAGTGATACAGCAGGCTGTAAAATATCAGATAAATAAGCATGATCATTAAAATAAAGCTTGGAAACCTTGAATAAGCAATTTTAAGCAAAATCTTAAACCTTTATTCCCTGGTGATTATACACCAATTTAAAGTTAGTCGCTGCATAAGTGGAATTAAACTAATTTTTCTAAGGTAATTGGTTGAGCTACGCCGTACTGGGTATGTATGTATTACAAAAACAAGGGATAAACGAAAATTCAAATAGTTTTTCGTTTCATGACAGATTTAAAATGTAATCTTGAGTTAAATCTTGCCATAGAGTGTGGGGCGAATACATTATTTTTTCTACATTACATTGCAAATTTTTCTAAGATCAGTCTTGATTTAGCTGCATCCATGTTTAGAGCGATGTGCAAAAGGCATAACGAGATTAATATGGTTCTACTTAAATTAATTGGAAAAGTTGTATAAAAAGTGTATTTAAATATAATTTTATTAAAAATAAACTAATTTTAATACAGAACTTAAATATATGTATACTGTAATTAATACCTTCTAGCGTAATTTAATTTAAATGTTTGGGTGGTGGGTAATTTTTTGCCTTTGCTGTGTGTGGCATTTTTTAGCCGATTTGAAAAGAAGTTTCTCAATTTAGCATGTATATTTCTTATACATACTATATGTTCGGGCATAATTTTTTTGTTTGTGAACCGATTGGGATGAGTATTTTTCCGTCGGATTTAAGACAGCTCCACGGTGCACATAGGAACGAATCGAGAATATAGAACGACAAAAATGTTTACTCCATATGTATTTGACAGATGTGAATGAAACTTGGTATTTAGAGGGCATACAGAACTCGCTAAAAACAGCAAGATTAGTAGCTGTATAACGACCAGCGACAAAACAATGCTGGTTTGGGTTGATCAAAGACAACCGCAAAATAAATCTTATCCTTAACTATGGATTCGAAAAGTTTCGAGATGGTCGACAACTTGGAAATCGGCCTATAGTTGCGAACATAATTTTTTCGTTCACTTTTAAAAAATTGTGTGATGATAGTAAATTTCCATTCATTCAGGAAGGTGCCTGAAGATACGGACTTATTAATATAATCTGCATAAGAATTGCTAACGCCGGACAGTTTTTGAGCAAGATTGATGAAAGCCCGTCAGCGTATGTTTGCGACGACGGTTTGAGAGAAAGCACCGCCTTGGTAATGTCTTCACATGAAATGCCAAAAATGTAATATGCCAAAATCTGAGACGTAATTTGACATAAAAATTCGGCAAATAAGTTAGCTGCCTCGGCAGGTGTACTAGCAAATTTATTATCCAGCATCACCGGCGTAGGTATACTTGAACACGACTTTTTTGAATTTTTGAAGTTCCAAAACAACTTCGGATTAGCTCTAAATTCCGCTCAGTACTACGAATATAATTTTTGTAAAGCAGATTATATAAAGTCTTGAATTTCTTCTGATAATGCTGGTAAATTGACAAAAAATTAATAGTTACTTGCTGCTTTAAATTTCTTAAGATATTTGTTTTTAATTTTTTTTAATTAATTTTTTATTTGTTTTTTAATTTATTTAAGTGCTTATTATACCAAGGTGACTTATAACATCGTTTCTTTTTCAAAGGTATGTTATTAAGGCAAAATTCCTGCATTATTGATGTGAAATAAGAAAAACAGCTGTGTGTGCCCAAGTCGGACAATAATTCATCCCGTTTGAATTCTAAAAGGGAGTTATTTGAACTAGGATCATCACAGGATGCGTAATTGAAAGCTGTTATCTCAATATGCGATAAGGTAAAAACTCATAAAACTTTAGCTTAAAATCTAAAGGGACATGATGAATACCTGCATCGGATATTGGAGAAATACATTTTGATATACAATAATTAATATTATCATTCACAAAAATAAGATCTAACAGTCTGTTTAACTGATTGAAAATACCGTTAATTTGCTTAAGGTTTATGCTAAGGAAACTATCTATAAGGTGAGATTCCAGAAGAGTAACGACGTTATTAGCGGTGAGAACTGAATTAGCACAATTATTACACCATCTAATGTTACACAAATTGAAGTCACCCAACACACAGAGATGATTATCATTTAAATTATCTACAGCTAAAGCAGTAATATTGTCCACATGCGCCTTATATAACTCCGAGTTGCTACTAGGCGGAATATACGAGGCAATTAAATAAAGCCAACCATATGTTTTAGAGCCATTGATGCACACACAAAGTTGATCACGCAACGAATCGTCATTTTTAAGCGTGATTGTATAGGCACGATATCTTTTGACCGCAATTAGAACACCGCCTCCTCTTACGCAGCATCAGCATCGCGGTCTTTACGAAATACGTCGTACAGATTTAAATCGAAGGATTCACAAAAAAAGTCCGATGTCAGCCACGTCTCAACAATGACAATGATATCATAAGCCTCTTCAGTGCTAAACTGATGGATAATATGGGATTTAGTTCT